TAAGAAAAATAAATCAATCCTTTCTTAAATGAAGGCAGCAGAACATACTGAGACAGTACCAGAAGCCACAAAAGAAACTATTTCACCAATTCCTTGAGAAGCCTGAATATATATCCTGGTGCTTGCTGCTGTAAATGCCAACGTAAGGATATACTATCTCTAAAGCAGTCACGTTGTAGATGATTTATATTACTCATGGACAATGATAGCTCAAGGCAATATTTCACACACCTAGAAGCATCACTCGAGTCTGATACAAACTGAAACACAGCACTTGGTTGATAACAACAGATGCACCCTTACTCAGAGTAAGCCCTCAGGTACCACATAGGGCTCCTTTAAATTTAAAATATTTAAGTTAATACTACTCTCTCTGTTTTCAACAAAGGGAATCTATGAGGATTAGTTATATCCACTCCTCATATTCTACAAGACAAACCTTTCTTACAGGAATCACAGGGATTGCAAGAAGGGTAAGGCACTTGCCACATCAAAACAGACCCCCAAAACTGAACACTCTGTGGGCTAAACTGCCCTGAAACATCAGTCCTGCTAAGATAAGGAGTAAGCTGTAACATTTAAGCACTTAGTGTTAAAGAACAGCACTTACATTTGATCTTGTTCTGCTTGCTTGGGTGGGAGGATGCTGGTTTTATCTATTAATTTTAGTAGTAGTAGTAGTATGTATAGTATGAGGCTTCCCTGCCCATGGCAGGGGGGGTGGAACTCAAGGATCTCAAGATCTTTTCCAACCCAAAGCATTCTATGTTTCTATGATTATTATTTAGCCTAAGTTGTACAAAAGCTTGAGCAATTCAGCATACAAGCTTTTGAAGCTGGAAAAGATTAGTTAAACCCAAAAAACACCTCTACTACTTGACCTCTAGCTCTCAGAAGTCAATTCAGAGCTCCTGTGAAAGGAATTACGACACTACACAATAGATTTTATCAGTGAGGGATGGAAGAGTTGTTTTAGGGCTTAACAGTGTCCAAAAACCATGTAGATGAGGCCCTCAGTGACATGGTTTAGTGGTGGTCTTGGCAGTGCTGGGGTAATGGTTGGACTCGATGATCTTAAAGGTCTTTTCCAGCCTAGTTGATTCTATGATAGTAAAATAATTCTCTTCAACTGCTTTTTCCATTTCAATTGGTTTAATATTGTATAGCAGGATGTGGAGCAGTTAGTCATCCACCTCCACAAGGGAGGCAGACTGGTAAAGTGCAGCCTCAGAAAGGCAACAAAAGGCATGTTTCACTATTAAAACAAATGGATTTGAATAAAGGTCATTGTGTTCAGAGCACGTAAAGAGAATGCAAATATGAAGTGCTACAAAAAACCACCTTCACATCTCTGAACGCGTACAACTGATCGGCTGCCATCATTTACACCTGCTCTTTAAGGAGGGAATGGCAAAGAACTGCATGTAGGCTTCTGGAATACAACACAGCAATTTGTACTAAAATTAGCATATTACAAACAACTTGCTAAATGGCACAAAAGACTTAATTTGCACAACAAGCTTTCAATTTTTCTCTTCAGCCCCAAACCTAAGGAACACATAGCTTTTCATACGGACCTGCCAATATCCTTCAAGTGCTGGGCCTCCAACAGTTTCTTATCAATTATTTCTACCAAACATTCAATGCAGAAGTTTTAAATACTATAGTATCACAGAATTACAGAATGATTTGGGTTGGAAAGATCATCCAGTTCCAACCCCTGTGACATGGGCAGGGACACCTCACACTAGAGCAGGTTCCCAAGGCTCTGCCCAACCTGACCTTGAACACTGCCAGGGATGGAGCATTTATCGCTTCTTTGGGCAATCTGTGCCAGGGCCTCACCACCCTTACCATCAGCTTAACTAAGTGGTATAAGGATGGGGAGAAGTCAGAAACCAATTTTCACTCTTCTGTGAGGTAACATTTAAAGTAACACAGGCTGTGCATGAGTTTTAAAAGCAGCACCATCAAAAATGACCACAAAGAGAGAGACAGGAATTAATATGCAGCCCAGAAAGCCAACCATATCCTGGCTTGCATCAAAAGCAGAGTGACCAGCAGGTCAAAGGAGGTGATCCTGCCCCTCTACCCTGCTCTTGTGAGACCTCACTTGGAGCACTGTGTGCAGTTCATTTGTCCTCAACATAAAAAGGACATGGAACTGTTGGAACAAGTCCAGGGGAGGGCCATGAGAATGATCAGGGGACTGCAGCACCAGTATCTGAAGGAGGCCTATAAGGATGCTAGGGAGGGACTCTTCATTAGGGACTGCAGTGATAGGACAAGGGGTAATGGGCTCAAACTGAAACAGGGGAAGTTTAGATTGGATATAAGGAAGAAGTTCTTTACTGTAAGGGTGGTGAGGCACTGGAATGGGTTGCCCAAGGAAGTTGCGAGTTCTCCATCCCTGGCAGTGTTCACGGCCAGGTTGGACAGAGCCTTGGGTGCCATGGTTTAGTGTGAGGTGTCCCTGCCCATGGCAGGGGGTTGGAACTGGATGATGTTAAGGCCCTTTCCAACCCTAACTATTCTATGATTCTATACATGTGTATAAATACGTATATATATATTTATGTACTTTCTGGTTGGTTTGCCATCTGAAGTTGAATTTTCAATGGATTAAGGAGGCCATAAAGACACAGCAACTGACAGAAGCCCACTGGGCCACACACACTCTGACTATACTCTCAGCTCTTCTGCTAGAGGAACTAGATTGCAGGGTAACGTCTCTCTCATCTTCCAAAGTCATTATTAGCTACAGATGAAGTATTTTAGAGGAAGTTAGGAACGTTGTTTTATGAAACCCCTTGGTTGCTTTATGAAAGATACATTGCCAACCAACTTTTGCTGCCTAAGATTAAAATGCAATGGATTCATATTAGAAGTAATAATTTCCTCTGACCTTAAAAGTGCAATTATAGAATTAACGCTAAAGAAAATCCTGATAACTTTACTGAAATTATCTACTCTTAGGATAAAACTCAAATAAAGCAGCCTTATTTACTGTTTTGTTTTTAAACCTGGGCCATTTAAACGCTTTCATTTACAGCACAGCCCTCATACACATTTATTTCAGTACAACACCCCAACAAACACCAAAACCTCGAGGAGGGAGCAGAACTCCTATAATCAGTCCCTTTTTCTTCAGAGCACGCACATCTTTCCACCTCCCACCCTTAATCTCATCTTCCTTCTGCATAATCTAGCAGCAGATGAGAAGTATCAATTCGCAAAGGCAACAATGTAGGGATTATTTCCAAAATGTGCATGCTAGGCAAATTTGTCTTCACATGGGTGAAGCAACAGTGAGCGCTTCCTCTTCCCTGGGAGGATTAGCTCACCCCTTACATTTTACCCCGAGGAAGACACATAAATACCTACTCTGCAAAAGCCTCATTCTGTTTAAAGACTTCTAAGTTTGTCCTGGTTTTAAGTGTTTAGTTTTGTTCCCTCTTCAGCCCTGTCTCCTCTCAGCCATAAATCTCCCCACCAACATCCTTTTTCCCTGGAGTTTCTATGCCGCCTATGCTACTGTCATTCAGACCCCGTCCTCCTTCCCATTCCCACACTTGGAAACCTCTTTCACAGCTATTCCTTTCAGTCCTTCACCCATGTCACTGTTTGTAACCGGCAGCCTGGCATGGACGCCCAGAACCTTCCACCTCCTGCATGCCAAGCTCTTCCAAAGCGCTGCTGAAGCATCCCAGCTATGTAAAAGGACTTCTTGGATTGCCCACTCCAAGCACTTCAGAGTAGGTTAGCACCTGCACTCCAGTACTGTTTTCCTAGGGTCTTAACACTTCAAAAGCAGCTGCTTATCTTACACATGTGAAAGCTTTTAGGAGGACAGGGCATCTGTCAGGTGGTAGCACATAACTACAACTGCACCCTTTAAAGTCACTGCTCAGGGTACAAAACCACTCAAGTTTTAAGCAAAACAACAGTGATACAGGGCTTGATCCTTCACCAGCTACTGCAATATACCCCCTTCTCATGCACTCAATGACCCTGTAGTAAACCTTCTTTTATCCCTGGAGACATTCATGGCCAGGCTGGATGTGGTTCTGGGCAATCTGATCCAGTTGAGAATGACCCTGATCATTGCAGGGGAACTGGGTCAGATGAACTCTGAAGGTGGCTTCCAACCCAGGCTATTCTGATTCTTCCTGCCCTAAAACACACTGAATAGATCCGACTGCCTCTCTAACAGAGTTTAGAGGTCCAAACAACAGCCTGCTCTCTTTACCAGCACTCTGAGCTACCCTAAAAGCCTACCACCTGCAACAGAGCAACTCTTCAAGCTACTCTAAGTCCCACCACCTGCAGCAGAGCAACCTGATGATGGTCACGACCCACCAAAGGCCAGCCGGGCAAAGGTGCCTCTCCTGGATGAAGGCGCCTCTTCCATACAAAGATACCTTCTCCCTCTTTGCTCTCCTTGAACAGCTTCACATGGGTTGACCGCCCATGGCTGGGCAGATGCTCCCGTCTCACAGGGACCAGAGCCGCAGACCCACAGCACAAACAACCCAAGCACAACTGGGTTCTCCCACCCATACAGTGCCACACAACCACCCCTGCCGCAGCACCGAGCCCCCACCAACCCCACTTCATCCCACATCAGCATGCCTCCCCATCCCCCTGAACACCCTCCTCCTGCCCCACCACCACTTCAGACACAGGCCATAGGGATGGAGGGACCCAAATAACACACGGGGAGAAAGGAGACCAAACCACCCCCTCCTTAAGACACGGATTTGAGGAGGAAGAAGACAGGAAAACACCCATTTCCACCCACCGGCGCTGGCTAAAGGGCAGGGGCCCCGTTACCCCGCTATCTGCCCCACTGAGGGAATAGGGCCCATGGAGCAAGGTGGAGGGGGAGATTCCCTGCCGTGGGGCCTAGTCGGTGGGGTGAAGGCACGGAGGGCTGGCGGGGGTTGGTGTGACTGAAGCAGCGGCGGGACGCGGCTCCCGGGGCCGGGGCGGCCACTCACAGAACTCGGCGATGTAGTAGGAGACGGCGTAGTTCTCCTCGCACCACTCCAAGGTGGAGGTCGGCGTGCCCCAATAACCCTCCCGGTCAGCGGCCGGAGCCATCGCTGCGTCCGCTTCAGGCCGGAGCGGAGCGCAAGGGGAAGGAGGGAGAAGGGAGAAGGGAGCCGGGCCCGGAGCGCGGCAGCGGCGGGCGGGATCCGCGCTGGGCCCGCCTCGGTAGGGGAGGAGCCGCCGCTGAGGGGAGCGCGGCCTGAGGGGTTGCTATGGCGATGGGCTGCGGCCTGCGGGCCGCGCTGCTCCGAGAAGGGGGAAAACGTGGAAGGGGGGAAAATACCGAGGTGAAAAAGGCGGATTTAAGGAAAACCTGACTGGAAAGAGCGGCTTTATGGCCCCGAGGGCCCGCGCTACGCCCCGGGGGAGCGGAGGCAGGATGGGCGCCATCAGGGCAGTTCTCTCCGCACCCCTTTCTCCGTTAAAACCGCGGTCGGTTTGGTGGCACCGAGGTGTTTTCTCCTCTTGTAGACCGCAGGGAGGGTTTGTGACCGTGTTTTAAGAGAAGAGGCAAGTGTTTCTCGTAGGCTGGGAGGAGGAAGGAGTCTTTTTATAGCGCTGCCTACTACATGGGGGTTTTCTCTCCTCTGATGCCTTATTTAGTTACCTCAGTGCTTACTACGTGTACTATACTTACACCCGTAATATGCAAAGTGCTTTTCGAGCGGGGTTGGTATCCAAAATAGAGCCCAAAAAGGAAAAGACTTGAAGCACATGGGAAAAGGGATAAAATGCACAACCTAATAATACGGTGTTGGTTTTCTGGTTCAGAATAAGGTCTAAAGACTTGATGAGAAGCTTCAGGCAGACCTTGAGGGCTGTGCACAGTGATTGTACCCTACTGGTCATCAGGATTTATTATACCTGCATATAAACTTCTTTTCAATGTCTTATTTCTCCTCAGTACTGCTTCTGTAAGCTAAAATACAATCTAAACACATCCCTTTCCCCGTGTAAATGCTGATGTTTCATCATGCATACATTTAGCATGAAGAATAGCCTGCCTTCTGCTGTTCAGCTTGTCTGTCATTGCTTCCAGCATCAGGCACAGATGCAGTTAACATTTTGATATAAAGCCTTCAAAGAAAATTGATTTTAGTCAATGATAAAATATTTCAATTGTCAAAACACCATCAAAATCACTGTGGATTTCTTTATGCCTTTTATTCAGAGCTTGGAGTCAGGGATGCCAAGGATCTGAGGCCAGCTATACCCCAACTGAAGAAGAGATACTGGCAGCCTATGAAGGGGTTGGATCTGCTTCAAAAGTGACTGGCACTGAAGCACAGCTCCTCCTGGCACCCTGGTTGCCTGTGCTAGGCTGGATCTCATTTACACACAGGTTCTGGTGTCCTCGACACAAGAAGGACATGGAGCTGCTGGAACAAGTCCAGAGGAGGCCACGAGGATGCTCAGGGGCTGGAGCACCTCCTGTATGGAGACAGGCTGAGAAAGTTGGGGCTGTTCAGCCTGGAGAAGAGAAGCTGCATGGAGACCTCAGAGCAGCTTCCAGTGTCTGAAGGGGGATACAAGGATGCTGGGGAGGGACTCTTCATTAGGGACTGGAGTGATAGGACGAGGGGTAATGGGTTCAAACTTAAACAGGGGAAGTTTAGATTGGATATAAGGAAGAAATTCTTTACTGTAAGGGTGCTGAGGCACTGGAATGGGTTGCCCAAGGAAGTTGTGAATGCTCCATCCCTGGCAGTGTTCAAGGCCAGGTTGGACGAGGCCTTGGGTGCCATGGTTTAGTGTGAGGTGTCCCTGCCCATGGCAGGGGGTTGGAACTTGATGATCTTAAGGTCCTTTCCAACCCTAACTGTTCTATGATTCCATGATCATGCAATGGATGCTACATGGAGTAAGTGATCTGCACTAATTACACAACGAGCTCGAACAGGAAATCCCAGTTATCCAGGAATTCTAGAAGTCATCATGCACTGGTCAGAGGGCAAAGATTTTGGAATGTTATCAGAGGAGATTATCTTCCCCAGATTTAGATATGAAAGACTGAGGACAACATGAGTACTGAACTGGTTCAGAAGCACAGAACTGGTTGTTAGTGAGGAAGATTCTAGTCTTCTTGATGAGCTTCAGCTTTCTGGACATTTGAAGGTTCAGTTTATATAGTAAAGACGTTTGTAGGGCTCTCATCTATCTGGTTGCCATTTTAAGCTTTAAAGTTCTTAACAATGAAAAGCTTCAAATTAGTGTTGTTCAGAAACTAAAGCAATAAGTCTTAAATATCCCATTTGCACACCAGGAGTACAAAATGGGAACAATATGAAAAACGAAGCAATTTGTATAACATTCAATTACAGATGGCTTTAAATAAATCATTACAATTATTCATGCTTCTTTCTTTTCTTGTCACATGCGTGCTGGACATGAGAAGATTTGTCACCACAATAGGAAAGGAAATCAGACATGAAACAGGCTTGAAAACCAGACAAGGTAAATTAATGACAGATTGTATGAAGTAGATAGCAACAACAAGATGGGTTATTTTCCATTCTGTTTTTCCTACATAGGCAAGCAAAAATGTCTAGCTAGCCCCTAATTTGAATCACTGGGAATCTGTATTTATTTGACATGTTTCTGTAGTATTCGCCATCACAACATGCATTTGCTTCTGACTTACTCTGTGGTTTGGTTCTCTGCTTCTGCACTCAAGCAAACATCTCAGTCATTGCACACAGAAGGGTGGTATTGAAGAGGCAGTCACAAACTGTTATAAGACATGTTTTTCCCCCCAAAGCTGTTTTGTGAAGGTAAATTCATCTTCCAGAAAACCAACTTTGACCCTTTCAGCTGTTAAAATAATACGTATTTTCATACCTGAAGGATTCTATGATATTGAAAACAATACTTTTCCTCTGTAACCTTGAGCTACGCTCTGTAGTGAATATTACTGCACTGGCTGTAAGGTGACAGCCTGAGGTTATTTACATTTAAATGTGGTCTGTCTTACTAGACCATAAAACCTGTGTCCAGATATTGGATTCTTTTTCTCTGCTCTGTATGGCTTATGGAGGGAATGTCTTGCTTCTGAAATAACAAGAAGAAAAACAAGCCCAGAGTTCCTGAAATGAGTATTTTCAGTATTACTAAAACTGTACTTGACATGCCAGTGGAGTCATTTCCTGTGCCTTGACGTTGCCTGTGGCAAAGGATCCTCTTTCCGTACAGTTTTATGTTTCTCTGAAACCTCATGGCTTAACTGATGAGTTAGGTTAGTTGAGTCATGTCAGTTTACACCACTAGAGGGGTATGTCCAGTACATTTAGTGTCTGGATCCAGTAGCTTTTTTTTACTTGGGAATGGGAAAGGGCTGCTGTTCAAAAATCACATGTGTTCAGCTGTTTCTCTTTGTGATCTGTCAAATTCAGGGAATGACACCTGAATAAGAGCACTTTTCTCTCACTTTGCTCTATGTAAACACTTTTATCATGGCTCGTGCTACTGCTGGTTTCAATTCCGTGTAAAATGAGACCTAACAAACAGATTGATTAGAACTCATTATGGCTGCGTATGATGGAGAAGACTGTAAATATTCATAGAATCATAGAATTACAAAATGCTTTGGAATAGGAGGGACCTTAAAGCTCATCCAGTTCCAACTCCCTGCCATGGACAGGGCCACCTTCCACGTTAACTTTGGCAGGTTAAAGCCATTCGCCTTTGTCCTGTCCCTACAGGCCCTTGTCCAAAGCCCCTCTTCAGGTTTCCTGGAGCCCCTTTAGGCACTGGAGCTGCCCTCAGGTCTCCCCTTCAGGAGCCTTCTCTCCCCAGGCTGACCCAGCCCAGCTCTCTCAGCCTGGCTCCAGAGCAGAGCTGCTCCAGCCCTCTCATCAGTGTGTGGATATGAAGGGAAAGATAAAATTGTCACAAAATCTTGATGTTTTCATTACTTGGTTCTAATAATAAAATAAAGGAGTCAGTTGCAAAAATAAAGGTAGATTTTGTGCTACAAATTGACTGTTCAAATTTTACATTAATTATGAACCTGTGTCTATTCTAGGATCTTATTTTATAGTTGTATAGTGTATAACAACATCCTAGGCATGGAATTCTGAGCCAGGGCTCTCAGCTGGAAAGCCTCACATCCGATGATAATGTTGTTTTCCAGTCACTGCAGCTCAAAATGTCATTATTGGCAGTGTTCTGAGCTGTCTAGTCCATACTGGTTACAGAAAAAGGTCATTAACACCTCTAGATCCTGCAAGCCTGATCCTATGTAGCATGTAATTTATCCCATTGATTTATATGCAGATAGCATGAGTAAGATGCTAAGAGCAGGATTATGAGAAGCTGAATCAGACTGTTTGTAAAGTGCCTTGAAATCTAAGGGATCTTTATGAGCACTGTTGTTGAGATGATGGTAATTACACCTGAGGTAATATCGCAGAAACTTATTGCATCTGAATGAGTGAAAAAGAGGAGTTGTTTCCTAGTGAAGAAGGATCTGATCCTATGAACTTCAGACTGTAGCAGAATGTATTCCCTGTTCATAGCTATGGAAAGCAGAACTGTTTGCACTGGAGTTAAATGGAGTCATGAGCTGGTAAAGCATCATCAAAAGGACTCAGGTCCTAGAGCTGTATAAATATTCATCAACTCTCAAGTGTAATATGACTGTTCCTGGTCATATTTTCAAGGTTATTGTAAGCATTTTGGCAAATGGGTCTGGTAGTGAATGACAGCAGCCCAGATTTCAGCTCCGTGGCTGCCATGGGCATCCAGCTTTGATGGGCTCAAGTATAAGTGCAACAACTTGAATAGTCCTATAAAGGGTTGATGGAAACAGGGGCTGCTGTGTGCAGGTATTTAGGAAAGTAGATGTGACCTACCGAGGATGGGACATTCCTTCATGCAGAGGATAATCAGTCCTGTGTCCAGCTCTACAACACAAGAGGGACGTGGAGCTGTTGGAGCATGTCCAGTGGAGGCCACAGAGATGCTGCGAGGGCTGGAGCAGCTCTGCTCTGCAGCCAGGCTGAGAGAGCTGGGCTGGGTCAGCCTGGAGAAGAGAAGGCTCCTGAAGGGGAGACCTTGGAGCAGCTCCAGTGCCTAAAGGGGCTCCGGGAAAGCTGGAGAGGGGCTTTGGACAAGGGCCTGTAGGGACAGGCCAAGGGGAATGGCTTTAACCTGCCAGAGGGGAGACTGAGATGAGCT